AAATAAAACATTCTGGCTGTTTTAGTATTCTCAGCTAAAAGCTGCTCTTTAAAATATATTCATAATAACAACCCTTCTGTAACTGACTATTAATATGGTTATTCCTTCAGCTTCTTGTGCAAGTTAGTAAACATTTTCAGGAGATCACAGAGCCCTTCCATGCAAAACAGACTTCCAAAGCCCTAACTGTTTTCCCCAAGATGAAACTGTAACAGAGTGAAGTACATCTGTAAGAATGGACAAAAACCAATTTGTATCTCATATCATTTCAGAGTAAGTACACATCCCCCGAGGGGGTTTCAAACTGCTCACACAGTAGGTATGTGGGCTGCTCTATGTGAAATCCAATCAGCTCGAAGTGCTGCCAAGAGGTAGGTCAAGGCACTTGGAAGACTTCGGAGTTTTAAAGAATATGATACTTTATAATGGTTATTTTACAAATGTACACTCGTTTCGCTCCACACACAGAATGCAATATTAAAATAAGCTAAATATTTTAAGTGATTTAAACACTGCTTTGCATTTTCTAATAAAAAGTTTGTCATGTAAAATCAGATATTTTCTGCTTCACAGAGCTACCAAAAAAAGAACTGCTCACTGCCAAGAAGAATATAAAATAAAAATTTAAACTAGAGACTTGTTATTTATCAGCAAACACTGTCCAAAATTTCTAATCCTCCAAAATTCTCTCTGGCCCTTTGTAGGAAGGGGGGAAGTACACAACGTAGAAATATTTGTCGATAAACAAGTACTTCTAATGAAGTATAATAGTTAAATAACATAAAACACATGCTTGCGGTCTCTCCCAGAAGACGTCTATAGACTAAAAAGCGAGAACTAGATAAACTAGTCATGACACACTGAATATTGAAAGTCTTGTTAAAAATATGAATATTTATAATCACAACAAAACATGGGCTAAAAAAGGAATGTTTATATGACAGAAGTACTTGCAAAGACTCTTCTCACATTTATATCCTATTCTTCCAACAGAGCACACATGCTGCGCACATCACACAGTAAACTCACTCACAACTGCATGAAAATTGAGAAATGCCTGCTCACAAACCTGAACTTTAATGCTGACATTCTACTAGAAGCTGGGTGTTCCTGTGCTAATGAGCCAGGGAATCAACCAAGTCGCTCGACCTTATCATTCCACTTCAAAGATCTACACAGCACAGTTTTCATCTTTCTGAATATTCACTTTCATAAAGAATAAAAAATAAGAACACTGGACAAATAGTTAACACAGTACTTCTGAAAAAGTAAAATACTTTTGGGTTAAGGATATGGACACATATCCAATCAGATGAGTGGCTGGAAGAATAAACTAGTTCTTTTAAGTTGCCAAAGTGCGTCCTTTTATAAGACACAGTAGTAGTGCCCCAGGAAACGAAAATCGGATTTTACAAAGCCGGGAGGTAAAGCTTCGGTTGGCAACCACGCGGAGGGAAATAGGATTACATTTATTGGTTACTATATTAACTTAACTTCTCATAAAATCCTCCTGATCTATTGTATAACTTCAGAACTGAAGTATGCTCTCCTATGGGGGTTGTAAAACAAATTAGATACAATTACAATTCAATACAAATAAAAAGCCAACCTAATTACCCTTCAGATGATTCTCGTTTGAAAGGCTTCACCGTTTACGTTAGAGCAGAATGTTCCCTAATGGATCAAGCGGGCCATATGACATAAGTCTGAGCTTTTTATGGTATGTTTTCTATAGAGGAAAATCAAGGATTCTGAGTCAATTCTGGAAAACTATGCTAACTACACCTCCCCAAAGTGAATACGACAAACATCTGCTACAAGACTGCTTGGCGTTCAGACAGTGTGTAAAGGGTGTTCTTTTACCCAGTGTTTTGCTATTTAAAAGAAAAGGCTGATTTGTAGGGGGAAAAAAATGTTTACTATCAATTCTCAAGACATTAAAAATATTAAAATTCTGCTGGGCTAAACCAGGTCGTCACAGGTGTGTTACAGGACGGAGACCGACGGTGGATTGGACTCCACTGTCGTTGTAAAAGGGCAGTAACAGAATTGGGCATGTTGCCCTCCGTCTGTGCTTACCGAGTAATTTAAACGTTGTCCTTCCACCTAAACTCAGTTCTCTACCCAAACTCAGCACCGAGGACGGAACTAAATACATACGACGTCTTGCTGGTTTCCACCCCGACGGACGCCCAGCGACAACCAGCTTCCTCCCCTTTGGGTTTCGCTGGCTTCTACCGGCTTCCAGACTCAGTCTCGCGGTGTTCTCATGACATGACTAATGTATCCTTCAACTTTTACTCCAGCATCAGGATACATAATTGCAAAGTTCTTGCATAACGCATTAAGCACAAAGTCGAATGATTGCAACAGAGGAGGGGAAGGATCAACAAGCCTGTAGGACCGTCTCTCCTTAACCGCTTCACAGAACTGCTCAGTGCTTTCTGTAAATGGGGTGCATTTTCCTCGGTTCTGAAAGACCAAGATTTTACCCAAAATTCACAGGTACTGTGCAGGGTAAAACACCATCTTTTTAGCACTTGGAAAGTCTACAAAATGCACACAAATTAGCAGGTACAGATAAATAAAAAGATTTATAAGCAACAGAGCCCAGGGCATGTCATACCTTCATGATAAAGAAAGAAAGAATGATAAACATCAGGCCATTTCTAAACATATTTCAAGTAACATGGAACTTTGTTCCCTTTTCAAACATCCCCTTTTCTCTCCCCATGCCTACTCCCAACCATTCTGAGGTGGTTGTTTATAAAAAGTTTAACATTCTGTTTCAAAATTCCATTTTTTATGCTCACAGGAAGGTATTGATTTAATTCCTAAAGCACTGCTGGGAGTATTTCAACAAGGCGTCCCAAGGAACCTCTGACACTCCCGCAGTGGAGACAGAGGAAGCTGCCCTGTCTCTGCCCCCCAGACCCAAAGTCCGAGCACTTCCTTATGCCTGACACCGTCCAGGGCCGACCATGGGCCTTGTCCGCGGATTGGACTGAAATGCTGACATGCACTTGGAACGCATGTATCTCCTCACAGGGCAAATGCTTTACACGAAGCAGCCCTCGGCATGGGGTCTGGAAATGCCATCCCAAGCTAAGGTCCAGAGGGGAGTCAAAGCCATGTGGGCCTCAGTACGTACAAGTTTAGAATCTAGGATTTCAGATCAAATCTATGGCCATCCCACATTGAGAGTCTCTGTCTTGTTGAAACGTGGATCAGACAGACACACGCGCACACCCGAGCAGATAACTGCCGACACCTCCTGTGCGCACGCCCAGGCTTATTCCTACGGGGCACCAGGGGGCACACGCTGGGTTTAAAGAACATATTAGCTTCAAGTGTATGTGCCCGAGGAAAACAGACAAACACTTTCTGACATTTAAAAGCAATATGTGTGTGTGTGTGTGTGTGTGTGTGTATATGCATATGTATGTATATGTATATATATGTGTATATATGTATATATATATTTTTTTCCAGTGATTGCTCATGACTTGAATAAAGTGATCTGAAAGTATAATGCCTCCTGTGTTATGTCCACCTATCTCATAGTGTGAGTTACACGTGACTTCTGTACAAAATGTTACACCGCGTGTGTTCTGTAAGGCGACATACACAGAGTTTCCCATAATGAAGGCGTAATAACCTTTCCAGCAAAGCACCTTCTCACCACGAACTAATTTAACTCTCGTGACCACCCACCGTGCACCATGACGTCCACTCCGCAGGCAGAAACACGGGTGCGAGAGGTGAGACGGGCCTAGGGCTGGAAGAGCGTATGGGGAGGGTCTGGCGGGAAGGACCCTCTGAATAAATCCGTGCGGCCCTTGCCGTGTTTCTTCCTAATCACTTCAGGTTCTCACCTGGCGGCTCATAAACATGGAAAGGAAAAGCGCTAACAGCCTGAGGCTGAGAGGCCCAGAGGAGGGCGGGGCTGCCTGTCCCAGGAGAAACCCCACCATGCGGACCGCTCTCCGGACACCCCCTGAAATCCCTCTGTGTACATCCTAGTGTGCACTCAGTACGTCAAACTTCGAAGTGAATCATCCGAATTACCCGGCTCACTGATGATAAGCGCAGTGCATTGTTCCCGTTTTGCAGGTGAGAAGACAGAAGGGAGCAAAGCCATCTGCCCGAGGACCCCACACTCAGCGAGAGGAAGGTCTGGACTTAGAGCGTCGTGTGCCCTGGGGTTGCCCATTCTTAAACGTCAGAGCAGGGCCACATCTACGAACCACCGCCCTCGGAAGTCACTGGGACAGCAGTTTCCTGAGCAGGGGCCCTGTCCTGCCGGTCGAGGCGTAAAGGGCCACGTCGCACGTTTCCACTCCCTGCGCTCGGGGCGAGCTCACTGGAATCTAAGTTTTGAAGACTGTGTCACATCTCCTGGCGGGAGTACCGTGAGCTGCACACCTGCTGGCTGAGACACGGTTTGCCCGGAATCGGCCTCAGGCCGCCAGGGCGGCAGCGCGGGCTAGGCAGGGACGTTAGAGGAGGAAGACATGAATGGGTCCCCAGCCAAACGTGTTCGCTGACACTGAGCCTGCAAGATCAGACATCAGTGTTCAGCCTGGCTGACTACAGCACGGAAGCCACTGCCTGCGGCCAGCAGACAGCGTCTCAGAGGGACGAGAGCATGGCACCGCAGGGCCAGTGACACATCTGATGCACCGCGACACGCCGATGCCCCCTTGCGAGACCAGACGATGACTTAGTAGCTGGCGGGTGGGAGGACAGGACACAACCAAGCCATTGCCCTTTCAAGCAGATGAGAAACTTATTCAGATATCCTCTAACTTTGCTAAACAGCTGAAAAATAAAGTCTGCGCTCTCCACGTGGGATCGGGCACGAACACAGTAACTCCTACCAGACGGAGGCAGCTCGGCGAGGACGCGGGCGTCCGGGCTGCGGCACGTCCCGCGTGACGGGCGGCCTGGCAGGGAGCGCGGCGCCGGGACAGACGGAGCTGCCCGGCCGCGAGACATACCTCTTGGGCGGAGCGGGCGGCTGGCTTGTCCTGATGACTGGCCAGGATTAAAAAGGGCAAAGTGCACAGCTGTGGGTGCTGCAGCGCCGAGTGCAGCTCGCTTCTGGCCACCTCTAAGTCACCTTCGGAAGACGCGCTGTCTAACACAAAGATCACCCCCTGGGACCCTTGATAGTAGCGGCTCCAGTATTTCCGGATATGATCGGCCCCTGTCAAAACAAAACACATTCTCTCTTTAAAAACAGCCCTCAGCAACGGCAGGGTGGGCCCAGCAGTCAGCCCTGGTGGGAACCCACGCGGGGAGAGGATGCGCAGGAAGCGGCGGGGGCGGGGCGGCCGTGCCGTCGGAGGGGAGCACGCTGAAGCCACCCTCTGCCTTTCTCATCAAAACGGGGAGGAAGGAGCCAGAAGGACCCCTCAACCAGAAGTCAGAGGATGTGTTCAGATGGCACTGAAGAGCCCTGAATACATGACACTGCATCTCGTGGAAAGAACACCGCCTCGGGGAAGAGTGGAGCCCAGTGGTTCCCTGGGCTGCTCCCCACCGGGGACATTGGTTGCTGATCGAACAGCCTTTGAAAGTTCTGGAAAGTCTGAACCATGAGCAGGTGCCTGCACGTGCTGCAGGGCAGACATGGGGGCACCCTAAAACCCTGGCCCTGGGCACAGCGGCACGACCCCGCTGACCATGAGCACACTCACGGTGCCCACACGATGGGCGTTCACGACAAGGACACTGAGACCCGCCTCGGCCAGGGCACGGCCGCCCCTCGTTATTCCCCACACCCAGCACCACGGATGGCGCGACGGCGAACACAGGAACGTGAGAACGAGGTGTGAGGGGGTGAAGTTACGTGCTAAGGAGGCTCCACAGGTTCTGAGACTAGAAGGAACTCTGCACACTCTCCAGTCCAGCTCTCTGGGGAAACTGAGGCCAGGGGAGGTGAAGTGCCCGGCTGCCAGTCATGTGCCAAGTACATCGCAAACCTGAGATTTGCAGTGACGGTGTTTGGGGGTAGGGGCGAGGGGTTTTACTGGTCCTGTAACGAACAGTTAGCTATCAAGGTATTTCGCCAAGTCGGTGCACATGGTCACCTTGTAACCACTTAATAATGAAGAGTCGTCTCCTGAACACATGGGTCCCGGGTGAGATGCGCCGTGCGGAGCCTAGGGGAGGGACACAGAGGGACCTGGAGGTGCGGAGTGGATCCCCCAGCCCCAGGGTCAGGGGCATCGTGCGGGAATCGGCACTGGACAGGGTGGGGTGTGTTCACTGTGGACATCAGCCAACGCCACGTGCCAGGTCTCTTCTTCCCCTGAAGGGCCGACACACCACACCTGTAGATGACACTGAGCAGCTCAAGTTTTTCTGGGAAAAGTAGGAAAAAAAAACACAGACCAGAACTCCGCGTAATCAACTACTGTGCTAGAGGCCTCCCCTCGGAGCTCTGGGGACCAGACAGCGGCGTCCGATCCGTGGTGGGCGAGTTTCTCCAACGACCAAACAGTGACCAAACAGCTGCCGCGTACGAGCGCGTCCTACGTCCCAGGCACAGCGCGAGTGTTTCCAAAAGAACAGCTCACACAACTGTTACAACAACCCCAAGCCGACGTCGCCGGCGAGGCTCTGAAAGGAACCTGCAGGCTGAGTCGGGCGTTCAGCACAGTGCTGTCCCGACCAGACAGGGGCAGGAGACCAAGGGCACGGATGCCCTGAGTGTGCAAAGACATGCTGGGAGCAGGGGGGAGGCCTTTCGGGCAGGGTCCCACCAAGTAAACAAAATAAATCAAACACGAAAGAGAAGACGGGAGGAAGGCTCCCTGGCGGAGGGGCTCGGCTGCACAGGTGCTGGGAACTGGGAAGCAGCAGGACGCTCGGAGGGCTGCCACCGGGGTCTAGTCCCTCAAGCAGCAGCGGAGACAGCACTCCTCACGCCTGACCCGAGCCCAGCTGCGGGCTGGACAAACGGGAGCGGCAGCGTCAGGCTGGGACGGGGGGAGGAGCTGAGCAAAGATGTGGGTTCAGAAGTCCAGCCTCAGTGGGAGCCAATGAGGAGAGAGCGGACTGAGCTGGAGAAGCCGTCCATCCGAAGGCCAGGGGCCCACGCTGCTCTACCCCTGCACGGGCTTGGCTCTCGGCCACCCTGGGGAACAGGAGGGGGTGGGGGCATGATCTCCCAATCTCCCAAAGATGTTTGGGTGAGGCAGTCAGCGCCAGCCAAGGGCAGGCCTCTGGGGAAGGGTGCAGGTGTGAGCCACGAGCAGCCAGTGCCCACAGCAGCTGGGAGATGGACGCACTGGCCCGGCCAAGGGCACCAGGAGCGTCACAGGCGGCGGGCAGACGCTGCCCATATGCCGGAGAGCTGTCCACGGCCGAGGAGCAGAGGTGGAGCCGTGTCAGAGGCGCTGAGGGCCCAGAGCGAGCGGAGGTGGCGAGCGCGTGATCCACGCGCCCCGTGAGGGCTGCCGCTGCCGACGGGACGTGCGGCACGTTTTCGTCTAGTGAGAAAGCAACAGGCTTCCCCGTCCGCTCAGGGCTCGCTCAGGGCTCACAGACTCTTCCACTGAGCAGGCCTGACTATGCCCACCGCCCACGGGCCACGCGTGGTTTGCAGGTAATGCGGGTTGGGCTGAGTGTCGCACACGCGTGAACTGGTCCGCCCGTGACCGTCTTACCACGTAGGCCCTGCTGTCACTTCTCATGTTATCAGTAGGGAATCCAGGACGCAAAAGAGGACACGATGTGCCCAGGGTTAGGGAATGTGGGTCTACGTGGTTGAAGCAGAGACAAAGACGCCGAACAGAGTCCTGCCACCCACAGCGGTGGGGCGGGGCGGGGGGGCTGTTAGAACGGAGGCACCGAAGTGCTGGTCTATATTAACGCTCGGAGCGGGGACACGTCTGGGAACATTTCCCAGCTAATTCATTCAACCGACGGAGCGACTAAGTACTGGTGTACGAGGCAGAGGCCTACGAGACATGTCCGGAAAGCCACCATTCCTCTTCGTGCAGGGGATACGAGCCACAAAGACGGCGACAGGGACGGTGCCCCTCGGCCCGCCTCGGAGCGCACAGGCCACCTGAAGACACCGAGCCAGAGGGCGAGTCCAGGGGCTGCTGGGGACAAACAAACCCAAGGAGAAACAACGAGCCTTTCAAACCGCCCTCACGCGGCGTGTGAACAGCACGGTGTCATCCCGGTGAAAGACCCTTTCCCTCTGTGTCCACTACAAGGCAATCTGCCCGGTCTCAGCGTCCTGACTGGCCTCACGGACACGGGGGTGGAATCCCAAAGCCCAGCGCTGCCCAGCGGCTTGGTCAGCAGCACCCCGACCCCAGGCCGGGGCGAAGGCTGGGCTCCGGGCAGTCTGGCGGAGGGGACCTGAGTTTAGTCACCGGACGACGAGGAACGATGCGTCACCAGCTCAGCTGCCAGTGCCTGAGATGTGAGTCTGACGGGAAAATCAGGAACACCTGTGGGTGCCACGTCCCAGCGTTCCCAGCCCATAAACCGAGCCCCGCAGGGATAACAAGCTCAGGACGTCATGTCTGACAGCCGCTGGAGGCCACACTCATGCTAATGACTCAGAGCCGCGTGCTCTGTGTCACTTCCACACCGCTGTCAGATAAAAAAGTTAAAACGGCAAACTCAAATCTGGCCTCTGTTTTGTACGTTTAGATGGAAGAACAAAGAGGGTCAGCTTAGCCGTAGGGACGGCGGGTGGACAGTACTGCCAAATGTCCTATCACTCCACCCGGTCCCGCCTTCCTGCCAGTTGCTGGCACCCCTGGGGATCCGTGGGTCCGTTCTGAGGGCCAGTGCCCCAGGACGGCCTGGTTCACGGTCCATGACAGCCCTGGCCAGTTCAGTTCATGTTAGAGTGTCGGCTACGGACCAAAGAGTCTTGGGTTCGATTCCAGTCAAGGGCACATACCTCAGGCGCAGTTCATCCCTGGCCCTGGTTGGGGTCGTGCGGGAGGCAACCAGTCGACGTGTCCCTCTTGCGTTGACGTTTCTCTCTCTCTCCCCCCCTCCCACTCTACCTGAAGATAAACGGAAAAATATCCTCGGGTGAAGATTAAAAAAATAAGACGTCCCATGACAGCAGCAGGGAGAGAAGACAGGGACACACTGTGTCCTCGTGACAGGTTAGGGTCCTGGGCACCCTGCACACTCCAGCAACACTCATGCATTCACTCACTCGTTCACTCTCGTGCATTCACTCACTCGTTCACTCTCATTCATTCTCTCTCATTAATTCTCGTGCATTCACTCACTCGTTCATTCTCATGAATTCTCTCGTTCATTCTCGTGCATTCACTCACTCGTTAATTCTCATTCATTCTCTCTCTCATTAATTCTCGTGCATTCACTCACTCGTTCACTCTCATTCATTCTCTCTCATTAATTCTCGTGCATTCACTCACTCGTTAATTCTCGTGCATTCACTCACTCGTTCATTCTCATTCATTCTCTCTCTCATTAATTCTCGTGCATTCACTCACTCGTTCACTCTCATTCATTCTCTCTCTCATTAATTCTCGTGCATTCACTCACTCGTTCATTCTCATTCATTCTCTCTCTCATTAATTCTCGTGCATTCACTCACTCGTTCATTCTCATTCATTCTCTCTCTCATTAATTCTCGTGCATTCACTCACTCGTTCATTCTCATGAATTCTCTCTCTCGTTCATTCTCATTCATTCTCTCTCTCGTTAATTCTCGTGCATTCACTCACTCGTTCATTCTCATTCATTCTCTCACTCATTAATTCTCGTGCATTCACTCACTTGTTCATTCTCATTCATTCTCTCACTCATTAATTCTCGTGCATTCACTCACTCGTTCATTCTCATTCATTCTCTCACTCGTTAATTCTCATGCATTCACTCACTCGTTCATTCTCATTCATTCTCTCTCTCATTAATTCTCGTGCATTCACTCACTCGTTCATTCTCATGAATTCTCTCGTTCATTCTCGTGCATTCACTCACTCGTTAATTCTCGTGCATTCACTCACTCGTTCACTCTCATTCATTCTCTCACTCATTAATTCTCGTGCATTCACTCACTCATTCATTCTCATTCATTCTCTCTCTCATTAATTCTCGTGCATTCACTCACTCGTTCATTCTCATGAATTCTCTCTCTCGTTCATTCTCATTCATTCTCTCTCTCGTTAATTCTCGTGCATTCACTCACTCGTT